CTGAGGATGGCGTAGACCATGAGGTCGATGGCCACGTTGGTGGTCGTTCTCCAGTCCCTAACGGGCCGGGTGCCCTTCTGGTAGTGGGCCAGGAGGAACTGGGACAGGCGGTACAGGGCGGGCTTGGAGGGCTCTGGCGTCCGGCCCCCGTGCTGGGAACCTGCTTAGCACAGGGAGGAAGGGAGGGAACGAGGGAGGCTGCTCTTCATCACTGCGGGGCTCGGGCAGCACCTCCCAAGCGCTGGGGTGCAGGCACAAAAGCTCCATGTCTGTCTCTGTCCTACTCGGCACAGCTCCAGGGTACCCCGAGACCCCGAGCGATGAACCCACAGTGCAGAGCTGGGTTCTGTTGCCTGGTCAGTGTTCCCCAGGCAGGATGCACCTTCAGGCTCTGCACCGGAGCATTCCCATGCCCCAGTTTGTCTCAGGTATGTCACTTCCCACCAGCACGAAGGTCTCCCTAAAAAGCAGCCTTTGCCTGCACTCAGCACAGTTSAGATCTGGGAAGCTGCTGCTCGGTGCCAGCAGCACCCTGCTCTGCCCCTGCCCGCCCTGCCCGCCCGTGCCTCAGCTTACCTGGGCTCTGCAGGGTCGATGCCAGKGGCAGCAGGGCCAGGAGCGCCCCGAGAGCCGTGGGCACCATGGCTCCGCTGATTGCAGCCGCTGCCGAGCACTGARCGGAGCGGAGGCAGGCGGAACTCGTGCGGCTTTCACCCAGCGCCGGCTTTTTGAGAACGCCCAGTTAATCTCGCGATCAGCCTCTCCCGCTGCATCAAGTTTCAGAGGATGCGAGAGGGGCCCACCCAGCTCTCCCCCACCCCCACCAGCCCAGCTTCAAAGCAGCTGCCCATGCTCTGCCCGGCTGCCTGGCTGTGGCCAGGGAGGGMTGGGTACAATGGTGCCATGGGCAGKGAGGGCCCGATGGGAGGAGARGGTGCTGCAGGTGCCAGGGCTGYGCCAGGAGATGCTCAGCGGTCAGAAAGATGGGGGAAACCCTGCAAAAAGCAGGGATGTGACACCGACACGGGGTGGGTTTTCATCAGCAGGGAGTGGGGAGCTCTGGAGGCACCGGGCTCCCCTTCACWCCCTGCGGCAGGGGTTCTGTCCCACTGCCGGTGACTCTGACCTGGGGAGGGGGCAGCGTGTGCAGCCAGCCCTTGGCACCCCTGCCTGGGCAGCAGCTTTCCCCCAGCCCCTCGGACCTGCACCTGCACCGGGGTCTGCTTTCACTGCAGCAATTTGCATTTGCTGTAAATCCCAGCAAACAATGTTCTTCCTACTGGTTTCASTTTCCCAAAATATTTAACACCTCGGGGCAAACAAGGCTAGAAGCAAAGTCTGCTCAGGTATTACTGAGAGTCAGAAAGCCTTTGGTGTCCACCCGTGCRAGGGTGCCCTGTTCAGGCTGTGTGTTTATCCCTCCACACCACAGCATCACAGCCTTGGCTGGGCAATGTCCCTCTGCCCGGCAGGGGAGCCCTCCTGGACCCCCAGGCTGGATGATTTTCTGTATTCCTCTGTGTCCACACTGTGCTCGTGTGTGCTGCAGGACCCCAGGCCCCACAAAGCTGCCAGCTGCTGGAAAYCCTGGGGAAGCGGCGGGCAGGGACCGAAGCCTGCAGCAGTGGCGTAGAGCAAATCGCATCAGATGCCGGCATGGAGTCACTTAAATGAGATAAGAATTAGTGCAGGGCCCTGATGAACTCCCCCTTTGCTGCCAACAGCCGTGTCAGGGAGAGAGTGACAGCAGAGCTGGGGCTAATTTGATTTCTCGGCTCCGTTAGTGGCTGGCAAGTCACCTCCCAGGGAGCTCCAGCAGCTCCGAGCGCTCTCCCCTTATTGAATCTGAGTAATGAAAATCACGGGCAGCGCCGCCGTGGCGCTGGGGACCGTGCCCCAATCTGCCCCTCTCCTCCAGCTCCTGCGYCTGCAGCCGGCAGGATGGGGCCGAGGGAGTGTGGACTGCTCCACTGGAGCCTCTGCTGCAGCATCATTAACTCTGAATTTTCTCCCTTGGGTTTKACATCTTCATCTTAAAGAGATTTTAATGTAGTTCCTATCAGCCTTCCTGTTATTGGATATCTAATTAGTGTGATCTACTGTAGCCTCATATTACAGTGCATGCAGGGGGCTCTTGCGGGACATTTTGTGGGATGGCTGATATCAATCGGCAGCACCCAGATCAGATTTACTTTCCGAAATAGCATAATGGGATTTTATTAGCCCTGTAATCTKCTGCGCGGTAATTGCTTTTCTGGGAATCGAAGTGCTGGGAGCCCGGGGCTTCCCACAGCTCCGGCCGGGTCCTGCCCAGGCTCTGCTGCAGCAGGCACGGCAGCACTGGGATTCATATCCCTACACATCCCTGCACATCCCCGCACATCTCTGCACATCCCCGCACATCCCCGCACATCCCCACACATCCCTGCACACCCCTGCACATCCCTACACATCCCTGCACATCCCTGCACATCCCTGCACATCCCTGCACATCCCCGCACATCCCCACACATCCCTGCACAGCCCTGCACATCCCCACACATCCCTGCACATCCCTGCACATCCCCACACATCCCCACACATCCTGCACACCCCTGCACATCCCTGCACATCCCTGCACTGGGATGGCTCCCAGCCCTCTCTCCTGGAGCAGGTCCCTGGCTGGGTGTCACGATCCACTAGAGTTGAAGCGGGGGCCGTGACATAAATTGGCGTCACAAGCAGGCTGGGTGCACCCCAGCAGGTGCAGCGATGATGGGGAGACACAGGGGCACAAGCACAGGATCCCCAGCATGTGACGGCACTGTGATCCTGTGCATTCCCTCCCCAGCCCCTGGACTGATCCTGGGTGTGCAGCAGTGTGCAGTCGGTTCCTTTGGCAGTAACCACCATAAACCACGGCATGTGCTGGGCTCTGTCCTGCATGGGGAGCTGTGGCCAGGCTGGGACCACGGAGACAACAGGGAAGAAGGCCTCAAGTGTGGAGCGGGCAGGAGAGGGAAACTGCTCTCCTCCAGGCTGCCAGGACTCACCTTTCAGAGCACATTTGGAACGTCAAAAGCAATAAAGCATCCACAAGGAGCCCTGGCAGCACGGCTGCCTGATGGCCCCAGCCCCATCACRCGCCCGAGGCCGCCCATTACGGAGCCTCACGCTCCCCAAATTGCGTGTCTGCTGTGATTTAACGCTGCGAGACATGAAATAAACACCGCGGGCAGGCAGGGCCGCAGCACGGGCACGAGCAGGCTGAGAGCAGCCCCCGCTGCCSTGGGACCCTGCAGAGGGACAGTGGTCCTAGAGAATCCTGGCCTTGCTGCCATCCCTGGCTCACTGCAAAGCGACACAGGAGCTCTCCTCTGGCTCCAAGACTGAAGCACAGCCCAAATGCCATGAACAGCTGCTCAGCGTGGTGCCCTTGGCTATTTTAATTTAATTTTGGARTGCTGGTGGCTTTGTCCCATTGGAGAGGCCAAACCCTGCCTGTTGCAGGTACCAAACCCATCCTCAACCTGGTGAAGGAGCCCAATGCCTTCAATTCCCCCAGCAATGGGATGAGAATGCTTTCCTTTCAATGGGATGAGAATGCTTTCCTTTCAAGTCATGTCTTCTTTTAGACACCCTTCAGGTTTTGCAATATTCTGGCACTGATCCATTACCATTAAAGCCAGGTGATAATAAGTACTTGAAGGTATTTGAGGCCCATTGCTGTTAATAAAGGAGATCTGGCTGACACTGAGTACGGGTGCGGCCGGACACACTGCCGGGCACACAGATGAGCGCTGCCGGACACACAGCCGGACCCACAGCCGGACAGTGCCGGACACACAGCCGGACCCACAGCCGGACAGTGCCGGACACACTGCCGGACACACGGCCGGACACATGGCCGGATCCACTGCCGGACAGTGCCGGACACACAGACACACAGCCGGACACTGCCGGACACTGCCGGACACACAGACACACAGCCGGACACTGCCGGACACTGCCGGACACACAGACACACGCACGGCCACAGCCGGACACACAGATGAGCACGGCCGGACACATGGCCGGACAGTGCCGGACACACAGAAGAACACAGCCGGACACACAGCCGGACACACAGATAACACGGCCGGACAGTGCCGGACACACGGCCGGACACATGCACGGACACACGGACACACAGCCGGACAGTGCCGGACACACGGCCGGACCCACGGCCGGACACACGGACACACAGCCGGTCAGTGCCGGTCAGTGCCGGTCTCCTCCCCGCGGGGGCGCTCCCGGGCCCGTAACCGCAGGGCCGCGCGTGCGCGCTGAGGGCTCGGCTCGCTGCCGCTGCCGCTGCCGCTGCCGCTGCCGGCGGGCCCATGACGGCCGAGCTGCAGGCCCGGGGCGGCGGCGGGGAGGTGAGAGCGGGCGGGGCGGCGGCACGGGACGGGACCGCGGGGTGTGCGGGGGTGAGCGGGGAGCGGGAGCGGTGCGGGAGAGCGCGGGGCCGGGGCTGCCCCCGGAGCCGCTTTCCCGCCCCTCAGCTCCCGAGCGCGGGGCCCGCAGCCGTTCGGGGCCGCTCCGCGGCGCTTCCCCGGCCCGGGGCAGCGGTCCCGCTCCGCGCGGGTTTCGTTGGGAATAACGGGCGATGCTCGCGCTGGCCGGTACCACGGGAAGGGGCTCAGCACCCTCCGCCTCCGCGGGGAGCACCAGCGCATGGTCCCTCTCGCCGCTCMGCCGCGTCTCCTGGGGCGAGTGAACACAAACTGTTGCTCCCGAACTTCATTGAATTGTCTGTGAAGGGACACGGAGCGCGGCCCGGACGCCAGGCTGTGTCAATGCTCAGGGGACTGCACCCGGACCACCCCGGACCGGCACAGGGGTCTGCACTGTTCTGTAGCATCTTTGTGCTCTTAGGACCCAAGAGATGCGTTTCAGAGAGGTCAGAGCTACAGCGTGGGTGGGATGAGGGTGTCAGCCCTTTGGTTGTGCGTTAAARGTGGCATTAGAGCAGCAGCCGTGCCCCGGTGATGTGGGGACAGTGACCAGACGGTGCCCAGTGTGTGCATCTTGCACACCTTARTGCAGAACAAGGCTGCTGCCTCCTGCGTATTGTGATGGATATTGGTTTGTGAAAGCCTTGGCCAGGAACGGGAGCTTTGTTCCTGCTCCTGCCTGTGCGTTTCCAGCCCTCTTCATATCCATTTTCCCCCACGATAAAAAGCATGGCTGAGGTGCAGAGGCCCAAGATTGAGGCTCTGTGTGCCTCTTCTGTGCCTCCACCTTCCTCCTCCTTGCATGCAGTTATTCCTGGAAGCTCCTAAAACTCCTGCACTGCATTTGCTCCCTTCCCTGTTCACAATTTCTCATCAAAACAAACTTCTGAGGCCTGTGAGCCGCCTCAGAGTGGGGAAAATAAGCAAAACTTTTCTATTCCACCATCCCTGKCTGACCTTGGAATTTTATCTCTTGTACCCTCCTTCCTCTCAGCCTCCTGGTTTTGTACTCATCTCCTGTTGCTGTAGTTTAACACTAACAGGATTTGGGTTTGGGTTGTTATTTTTTCRGCAGGTAGGGCTTTGGTTCAGTTTGGGTTTGCAAGTGCAGCACACTGGTGTTAATTACCAGTTCCAGAGCTTGTTTTATAGCCCCATGGCGCATAACCTCAGAGAGMAATAACCAGACTAGTTATGGCAACAAAACCACATGCACTCCCCAAAATCTTAACAAATTGGTTGCGTGGAGTGTGCTTCCTGGTGACTTTTGTGGGCTGCCAGGCAGCTGTAAGCCTCTGGAAAGTGGTATGGGATAAGCTCTCTGCTGTTAGCACAACCTTTTCTCAAAGGCTGAATAAAAGGATACAGAAATCATTGGAATATGAAGTGGTAACTTAGATCAGAGGATCAGTAATTGGCTTTTCCGCTTACAGCAGCCTTTGTGAGTTCTCCACATGCTGGAACAGAAAAACCCCAGAAAATCATGCCCTGTCCTGCCTCGGATTTCATTATTATAATGCAGTGTATTAGCAAGGGTGTTTGGGACTCTTTTTCTCCGCTGGAAAAATCCGCCCTGCAGCGTAAGGTGGGGTCAGCCGACATGCACAGCACGTGCTAAGGCAGCAAAATTAGCAACATGATTTAAGTGGTTTGCCTTTGTGAGAGTATGCCTGCCCTGAGCCTCMCAGCCTTGGCTCCTCATCGGGCAGCTCCTCCTGGGGTGCTGAGGGGTTCCAGTGCAGCATTGTTTCTCAGGTGGTGCACACACGTATGTGCTCCTTCTTGTAAAAGTTGAGCAGATGTAGTATTTTAAATGGGACTGCCATGAATAACTTGATGAGGGATTCCCCCCAAAAATAATCTAGGAGTTTWTTTGTTTTAATGGCTGACACGGATGTGTACTGTCTTTGTGTGGAGTAACGTCCATCACCAGTATGGGCAGGGGCTCAAAAAGTATTTGACTCATTACTCACTGAGTGGAACTTGTGCTCCAGTGGCCTGAAAGCATCTTGCATTTTTTCTCAATGAGAGTAAGTAGAAACTTGAGTTCATTTGCCTGCACTTTGCTGGTTAAGATTTAATTAAAACGTGGTCTTAAGGATGTGGGATTGATCGGGCTGCGCTGACAGCAGGCTCCCAGACAGCCTCTGTAAATCAGGATCCACTACACAGAGCCAGCAGTTGTTCCTGGTGTAATGTCCCTCTCGTACCACATGCAATGCCAGCATTATGGAGCTGCATCTCAGTTGTCACCCAGACTGAGCTGTTGGCAGCAGCATCACCTGAAGTGCAGCCTCAAACAGGGGTGATGGGACCCCGAGCACCAGGAGGCTCTCTGTGGATTGCTGCCTCTCCCAGCAGTCATTGACTGAGGTTATTTGTGCTTGGCAAGTGCAGTGAGTGCCTGGGCTGCAAAGCTTTTCTAAGTCTGGTAAAGTGAATTTCTGTAATTGTTTGTTTTAAGTGGCTGAACAGGCCAAAGGTTGTGAACCATAGCTCTGGAGCCTTGAGCAGCAAGTGTCTTGCCAAACCTTGAGTAGTCTGCAGMGTGGGAAGGAGGAGCAATAACAGGCTCCTGGACCCTTGCTCTGACACCTTATTGTCAGTGAGAAGTGACATGCACAAATGGCATGTGCCACCACACTGAAAATAGCTCCTGCCAGTGCYCTGGGAGCAGGCGGCCTCCTTATATGTCCCGTTGCACATGCCACTGCTTTAGGGAGCGGGGGAGCCCCTTCCCATGGAGGTTCTGCACATCCCAGCTGACACGAGTGTAGCTGTGCTCCCAGGACTGTGCTCTGCTGAGGAAACGAGGGATTGACTGTTAGTCTGTGAATTCAGCAGGGAAAAGGCCTGAGTGCGATGTTCAAGCTGATGTTGGTATTTGTATCAAGCAAGTGTGGCTGGGCTTGTGTGTCAGTCTGTCAGCAGAAAGGAAGGAAAGAAGCAGTCCTCCAGTGAGCCCTCATCAAGCCTTGCAGAAACAGCCTAATGTCCATCCTCATCACCTTTTCACATGAGCTTTCTTTATTTTTTGCACATAGGATTGCCAAGTGCTTTTAAACCAGATGAAAGAGATCACAGGAATTCAGGATTCAGCATTCCTGCTTGCTGCTCTAAAGGTTTGTGTATATTGCTATTGTTCTGGGGAAAGAGCTCTGATTTTGTTCAACAAAGTCAGGCAAGTTCAGGTTCCCATCCAACACAGTGCAGAGGTGTTTGCTGTGTCTATCAGCTGCTGATGAACTGGTCCTTGTTAGAATGGTCTGTGCATGGCCTGTGAGAGCCATCCAGGATCATGAGAGGCAAAGGGTAAATCCTTTGCTTTTCTGCTCCTCACTGGTGCTTTGCTTTTCCCCGTCATTCTGCCAGGCTGCTGATGGAGACCTCATGGAAGCAGTGACCTTCCTGACRGAGGACCCCGCCCCGGAGCCCGTACAGAACTTGGCTGCTGCAGAGCCATCTGCCTGGGAAGGGAGTGCAGTGGGCAAACAGCTCCCACAGAGTGAGTCCCTCACCTCTGCTCACCCTGCAGCTTCATGTGTTTGTGTGAGCTCAAAGGGAAAGTATCCATCCTCCCTGCCTCTGCTAGCAGTGCAGCCCTCCAGGTGCTGTTCTGGTGCACATCTGATTTTGCCAGTACTGATCACTTAATCGTGTTTTAATAATGTTTGTAGGTGACACATCACAGTTAAAAATCTGATGTTCTTGTCTCATTAGTTCAGGAGCTCTGAACTGTTCCCTTAAGCTCTGAATTTGGCTATAAGGAAATCTGGATCGTACACAGCTGCATGCTCTGCCCTGTTCTCCTCATAAAGCTCATTCAGTGGCTCTTAGATTGCGTGGCATGATCTGAACAGGGATTTGTGTTTAAAATCTGAGTTAGAAAATGTTGTTTGTATTGATTGAAAAGCCATATTTGTTAAGTGTAATGTGTTCTAGAAGTTCCTTTTAAAGAGAATGTTTGCTGCTGGTGGTGGAAAACTGATCAGAGTGGTCAAACTTCACTTCTAGATGCTAGTGCTGCACCTCCCCCTCAGAACCAAGACAATCTCCGCACTGGCAACACCATCAGACCCCTGGAATCACCAAAAGCTGCAGCTGCAGAAAGGGATGCAGCTGAAAGGTCAGTGAGGCCATGAATGGCCCCAGGTATCATAAGTGGGTTCTGAAGCTGGTAACTGCAGAACAAACATGGATCACCTGCTGGCTGGAGGGAGCTTGATTCTTGTRGCTGTTGGGAATCTTTGGGAGGTGTTTTACAGCGCAGTATTTACGTCTCATGACAGACCACAGGACAGCCATTCCACTGAAAACAAAAACCGCTCCAAAAGGAAACGCTGTGAGGCCTGGGGAGAGAGCCCCAAGCAGAATGACTGGAGAAGAGCGAGTGACTGGCCTGTTGGAATGAAAAATATCGGAAATACATGTTGGTTTAGTGCTGTTATACAGGTAATCTGTAAGAAAGTTCTGTTTTTCTGATATCAAACTTGCTGTGGTCTTGGAGTCAGAATGTTTCTCGGTTAGAAGTAAACATGCAGCAGTTCTGTGGGGCAGTCATTGTACACAGATGAGTGAATATGACCTTGSTCTAAGCACAGAAACTTCTGGGTTTATGTGATGTCACTGTGATGTGTTCTGGGCCTGTACAGAAAGAGATAAATAGTATTTAAACAGGCTTTGCTTAAAAATAGCTACAGATACAGAGAATCTGTGTGTTTGTACGCAGGGGATTGTGCAGYGATGGCCAAGTGCCTACTGAAATGATAGAAGCTTCCCTGGCTAAGTGAACCCATAATTTAATTTTACTGCAGTTATTGTTGGCTCTATAACACATGGTAKATCATATTTCAGTTAATGGAATACACTGGCATAGATGCTTGGACAAATAAAAAACTTGGCAGCATATATTATTAATAATGACCTAAAGAAGAGACAACAGTAAGTGGAACTGARCAGATTTGTCTCTTCTCACCATTTCACATCAGCAGAGAGATGGTAATCATTTGTCTCCAGCTCTGAGAGGAAGTAAGAAGGCTGCAAATGGGTCTTTCTCACCATGACTTGTTCCTGGGTGCCTGTACAGAATAGAATGATCTTTCCTAAAAGGTTTATATCTCCCATAGAAATGGCAGGATGAGATTTCATCTTTGTGTGGGTACGAACATGCTGATGATCTCAAAGGTCTTTTCCAGCCTRGTTAATTCTATGATTCTGATTYTGTGCTCGWCCAGCACAGGGGCTGCTTATATTGTAAAGGTGCATTCAGTAGTGGGACCATTGGGAATGTGAAGTACRCAAAATAAACCTGTCAAATCAGAGAGTGACAGCAGGGCATCAAATTGCAATGAGTCCAGTCCTTGCAGGTGCTGACCGAGCTTTACTCTGCTCTTTTTCAGTCTCTGTTTCAGTTGCCAGAATTCCGGAGGCTGGTSCTTGGGTACTCCCTCCCACAGAATGTGCTTGAAAGTTGTCGTAGCCACACTGTAAGTTTTGATTCAGTAACAGTGTCWAATTTCCCTCTTTTGTGGTGTAGTGTTCTGCTCTTTCTCTAAGCAGATTTAATTTGGAGCTGCAGGAAGGCTTTGACTTTTCTTCTTTTTGCAACACAGGGAAAAAGAAATATTGCATTCATGCAAGAACTGCAGTGTCTGTTTGCATTAATGCTGGGAACATGGCGTAAGTTCGTAGACCCTTCTGCAGCACTGGAACTCCTGAGGGATGTGTTTAGATCTGCTGAACAACCACAGGTAAAACCACATTGAACAGCCTTTTGCTCTCTTCAAATCAGCAGTCACAGCCATTCTGCCTCATCCTGCTGGCACTCCCATGTCTGTCAGCCAACAAGCAGCTGTCCCTGTGTCATTAGAGCAGAATGTACATGCGTGCTAATTAACCAGCCAGCGTAGCATGGCACTACCCAGTGCCATCTGCATAGCTGGGTAGTGATCACAGTCATTTCCTCTGATCTAGTGTTTGGATGAGCAGGGTTCAGTGTCAGTCTAAATCAGCACAGCACTTCAGTCTTACACGTAGTTCAGCTGAGAGGGTAGAGCAGGAGCTGTCAGATTGTGTTCAGTGGTCAGTGACAGCAGCAGACGGGGCAGCACTTTSTGGTGGATGTCACCATTGACTCTCCACTTCTGTCTCTCTTCTAGCAAGATGTGAGTGAATTTACACACAAACTACTGGACTGGCTGGAGGACGCCTTCCAGCTCACTGTGAATGTCACGTGAGTTCTTTGTGATCTYGGGAGTTTGACCTAAGGAGAGTTTTAGTAAATGAGGGGACTATATGTACCTGTAGGCACCCAAGCAGAGGTTTAGATTACAACTTGGGGTTTTTTTGCAGCCTCCAGCTGCAAATGAAAGTGTGTTTCTGCTTTCTGAAACAGGAGCCCTGGGGACAAATCCGAAAACCCAATGGTGCAGCTCTTCTACGGGACTTTCCTGACTGAGGGTGTCCATGAGGGTGAGTCCAGGCTYTGGTAGATTCAACTTTTTAACTCATCTGAGTGTTTCGGGATTAACCAGAATTTTTTGTTCTCCTGAATTGTCTCATGGTTTCTGTCTGATTTCAATCATCCAGGCAACACTTTTTCCAAGATTGAGACCTTTGGTCAGTACCCCCTCCAGGTGAACGGTTACCGGAACCTGAACGAGTGCTTGGAAGGAGCCATGGTGGAGGGAGAGATGGAGGAGGCAACAACATCTCAGTCAGTCAAGTATGGACAGGAGGTTGGTTTGAGCTTTTTTGTCRAGCCTTTGGTTGCCTGCTGCAAAAAGTGCAGCACACACAGTGCYGGGGTGTGTCACATACTCTGGTAATTTTAAGTGGGAGCTGAGTGTTCTCTAAGAATTGAATACAGAATATTTTCTGGAGATCTGGAATCGAATGTAAATGTGTGTTAGTGTTAGGTGGCGAGACACTGAGTCTTTRCTGATTGGTAAAGATGTATTGTCCTATGTAACCAGTTCAAAGACTTTATTTTAAATTGCAAAGGTCAACATCTGCCACTGAATGAAGTGTGATCAAGTTTCTCTCTTTTTGTTGAAGCCTACCTGTACCTGWGTAGGGGGAGACCTTCTGCCTCCATATTTTCGGAGGGTAAAAATACAGTGCTTAACTCCATGGTATGCCATTTGGAATTTGTCTCTTTCTCCCCATTATATTCTGTATGCTTTGGGTTTTTTCTTCTTGCTTTCACTCTTATTTGCTGACTGTGATGACTTTTTTTTTTTCTCACTAATCACAAACCAATCATAAAAAACATAGTTGCAGCAAGCTAGAAGGTGAAGAAGCACCATTACATTCAGCATCCTCTGTGTAAGTGCAGCAGAAGTTAGCTTGGAGAAAGGCTGGGAAAAAACATTGGCAAAGGTGTCTGGTCTAGGCAAGGGAGGGAAGGGTATTTCAGTTGTATGAAAATGTCTGAAAATTGTGTTGCTGTGGTTTAAGCTAGCAAAGGAGTAGTGAAGTATTGAGCAGGGGAGCCCTGTTTTGACTGTGGACTCAAATGTTTGTTCTGTGTTTTCCTGATTTCTGCCTGAAGCAGTTTAGGTGCATTTACAGGGGTGTGGGTGAAGCTGGTGTTGGCTGGCACTGGAGACAAAGGGACATTGGAACTCAGCAGGCAGATTAATTTCAATCCAAGCTTTTTAGTTCCTCAGAATTCTTCTCCCAAAATTTRAGGGAAATTTGACCGAGCAGGGAGCTGTTTTAATTCTTTTGTCTGCACAGATAGGAGGAGAAGGCTCTGGCTTGATTTCTGAGAAGTCTTACTGGAAAAATTGTGCATCTTAATTTCACTTCCTTGGATGTGGTGGCATGATAGGAGACATAAGGAATAAGGTGATTTTGTCTTTTGGGCACCTAGGCAAGTGTGCTGAAAGTCAAAGCAGCAGTGGGATTACAGGAACTTCCACCAGACTATAGGAGCATAAATCATTCCATCTTTGTGGTTATGGGCTGCTTCTTAGAAAGCTCTGGTTTGTTGCCACAGCACATCTGACATGAAKCTGACAAAGCACAAGGAGCTTAGTGTGCTTATCCTGAATCTRGAGGGGAGCATGAAGTGGGTGGTCCAAGCTAAAATAGGTGAAGGAACTTTCTGGCAATGGATGCTGGAAGTCTGAATCCAGGAAGAGCGGGAGGAAGTGTAAATTCAAGTGAGAATTTTTCTTTCCACTYTTAATAGTGACTCTGAATAGTCTGTGAAACTACAGAAAGTGGGAATCTCTGAATCTCCAAAATCGTTTGTAAATAGACAGGGAGGATAAGGAATCTGGTGCTGCAGGAGGACTCCTGATTTGTTCATCACTGCATGTGATCTGTGTCAGAAAAAATCTCTCTTGGGGGCTCTTAGATGATGTGCAGATTGTGTGTAGCCTCTGCTAATTGGTGGAATTCAGTGCTGGACTTGTTAATAATCCATCAAGCTGGATGCACCAGGCAATGACAAGTAACTGAGCGCAATAACAAGGCTTTTTCACAGTAAAAATTGAAAAGGAAGCATAAATTTTTGTCTTGTAAAATTTGGCTTCTGACTTGTTACTCTACAAACAAAACCCTTTCAGAGCTTAAAGACAGAGACATTTAAAACAGTCTGAAATCATATAGGATCAGTCTAAAATGTGCCATTAGGAGTCATCTTAAAACAAGTCCCTTTGGGGGCATTTCTGCTTTTGTTRCAGCGCTGGTTTACAAAACTCCCACCAGTTCTGACCTTTGAACTCTCCCGATTTGAGTTCAATCAGTCACTAGGACAGCCAGAGAAAATTCACACCAAGCTAGAGTTTCCCCAGACTATATATATGGACAGGTGAGTTGTCCTGTTGTACGGTATGTGTAAAGTTATTGCTTTGTTGTAAAGAAATCAAAAAGGTTGTTTGGGTGAGCAAGGAAAGATTCTAAATACTTACAGAAGATTGTGGATGTTAGAAGTAAACAAATCTCACCTGGCAAATGGGGCTCTCTGTTTCTGTTTAGATACCTCTACTGCAATAAAGATCTTATTCAGATGAAGAGAGAGGAAATGAAGAGACTGAAGGAGAAAATGGTGACTCTACAGCAGAAGCTGGAAAGGTGAGTAATCACTGGATTCATTTCTATGCCCTCCAGAAGTGTGCAAATGTTTTCTTTYAAATGAACTTTCCAGTAGCAGAGAAACTTGTAGGGGAAAGAGAAACAGCACTGTTTGTTCCAAGACATGTGGAGGGAGGAAGTGTTTTTTTTAAAAACAAACCTGTCTCTTCCCTTGTTTCTSAATTTTACTGATACTGTTACAGGAATAAATTCTTTAAAGAGCRCAGTTGACACTGTCAGCTGCATTGGCAAGTGAGGTGAGAAAGCCTGGTAGTACATTACATAAAAAGTTATTCTCTTGTCCTGTACAGTTTAACCCATCTCATTTCTTCACTCCTACAACATCTTGCATTTTTCCCCAGGTACATGGAGTATGGCTCTGGCCCAGCCCGCTTTCCCCTGCCTGACATGCTGCAGTATGTGCTGGAGTTCATTGCTACAAAGCCAGCTGGGGCTGTTYCCTCTGCTCAGGGCTCTCAGATATCACCCCTGCACTCCCAGAACAAGCCTCGTGTTGTGGACACACTTTCACAGCCAAACGGGTCAGTAAACAGAAATAAAAAGCATTCACAGGAGAGCACCTCCCAGCTAAATGGTCCTGTGTGGCATTCCAAAAGTTGGTTATTTCTCTCAGCCCTGGTGAGCACGATGCTGTCATGTGCAAATAAATGTTTGTACAAGCAGTGGCTCGTGGCTTTGCTGGCCATTGCTTCTGTTGGTGTGAATAGAACATTGCATCTTAGTCTGTTCTGTCTCCTTGTCCAAAAGCATCCCCATATTCCTTACCTAAGCAGCAATTCAGAGCTAAATTATGTGCTCTTTTTGGTTAGGCTACTTATTTTTTTGCTTCATTGACCAGTAAATTACAGCAATATTGGATTATTATAACCCTGGCCAGCACAGTTGGTTTAACACTCTAAATTAAGCTGAGTAAATACACAAGTGTCTTAGTAATGGAAGAATTTTTTTTTTAATTGTTCATTTGGGATCTGTGCTTAGAGAGTTCTATAAAATTTTCCCCTAGTATTTTTCCTATATTTTAGTTTAGTCTGTGAAGGCAGAAGTATATTTTAGTGTACTTTTTCTCTCTACATTTTATACCACCCTGGAAAGGAAATCCAGCYCCAGCTCTGGATTAATTTTTGTTTGGTTTATTTTGTATTCTTTTCCAACAAGAAAAGAACTAGAGAAAGATTGAAAAACCTGCCCACTACTCTTGGATTTTGCTCCACAGCACRCTAGAAAGGACTGATACTAGGACTGAAGATGAAGCTTCCTTTGTGGCAAAYTCTTCGCTGCAGCAAAACTCCAGTGTGGAGCTCCAGCCTCCCGTTTCAGCAGCAGAGCTGTCTGAATGTCCAGCTCCTCGRGTGGTGTCTGAGGAAGAGCTGAACCTGGTTCAGACGTGTCTGCAGCGATGGAGAAACGAGATTGAACAAGATGTGCAAGGTTGGCCCCAAATGCATTTCTGGTGATTTTCCTCCCGAATGCCAGCCTGGTTTCCCTTCTCTTGCTTCACTGGATACAGCCTGAAGTACAAATAGTCTTGTCCCTGTTTGAGCTCTGTTGTTGAGTCTGTCTGATAGTCTCTGCATGGCTTCAGACTCTTTGAAGTGAAAGGGGTTAGCATAGCCTGATGAGTAGGCATTAATTTTTACGCCTTTATCTCACTGATGATGTTCTTGGCAGATCTGAAGGAGTCTATTGCCAGAATCAACCTGTCCATTGAAGAAATGTACTGTGACCCTCTCCTCCAACAGGTAGGAGATGCTTATACTCATGCTTATAGTCATTTTTGTTAGTAGCTGTTGGTTTAAATTGCCCTCTTTAATGTATTTTTAAATTTTCAGATGAAGCAGATAAATCTTTATCTATATCTATATCTATATCTAATCTATATCTATATCTATATCTGCTATATAGGAAAATCTTGTTTCTTCTTCCCTTTAAAGTCAGTTCCCACACAGTAAGAAATGTATCAAATTGCTCTAGTCCTGTGCCATTCTATATCTATAAACAGTCCTGCTGTTTGTGTACAGAGGCAGARTCAGTCCCTGAGTGCACCCTGAGCAGTGTCTGTGTCACTCTGCAGGTTCCCTATCGTTTACACGCCGTCCTGGTCCATGAAGGGCAGGCAAATGCTGGCCACTACTGGGCCTTCATATACGACCAGCCTCGAAAAAGGTGGCTGAAATACAATGACATCTCAGTGACAGAGTCATCGTGGGAGGAGCTGGAGCGAGAGTCGTTTGGAGGCTTGAGGAATGCCAGTGCCTACTGCCTGATGTACATCAGTGACCAGGTGTCCCGTGCTGGTGCAGGTACAGAGCCACGATGTTTAGGTGGTGTTTGTGTCCCTCTGGCCTCCATGACCATTATGTTCCCCAGCTTCCTCAGCTGYACAGTTGTCTTTTGGCAAAGCACAAAACTTCACCCCAGATAGGAGTGAAATAATCTRCTTCATACTCAGTTCAATTCTAAATCCTTGATAAGGCTGGAAAGTGCTGGGAGAAGCATCCTGGTGGGACTGGGAGCAGCACCTCATTTGTGAATCATGTGCAGACTGACACTGCCTTTTTGCCACATTTAACATGGACCTAGTGCTGGTGCTTTTCACTTTGACTCTTTATAATGTTTGTATGGCAGCACTTGTTTCCTAAAGGCATGTGAAATGCCTCCTACTTTAGCTCTCTCATTTTTATCCYATCTCCTGACTCATTTGTGTGGTTTTTGGTGATTCTGTTCCATTGAACTTAAAAATGGGCTCTTTTTTGTGCAGCCTTTTCTGTGCAAGAGATATCAGTATCTGGTTCCGACTTAGAATTGTGTTTGCAGTGCCAACGTATAAATAGTTTTGAGGAGGAATTGCTGTGCACGTGGCACTAGACGTGGCAAACAGCTGTACAAGAAACCAATAATTTCACGCATGGCTCATTTTGGTATAATAAATAGAAAAAAACAATGGAGAACTGTCACTGTTCATTGCTAAATATGCCCAATGAGGATTGGACATTGTTTTCTTGGGGTGTTTTTTTCTCCTATTTAATGTGATTTKTGTTTTTTTTTAAAGCATTTTGCAATGGGTGGATAAAAATATCTGCTGTAGRAAATTGCCATTTGCTTTTGATAAATTTTAGGACTTGTCTACAGCTTATGCTGCTTGGGTTTTGTGCTATTTTAAAAGTGAATACTGAAGCAGATCTAAAAAGGGCTGAGAAATACCAGCATGACAGTTGTGTTATGGACCCCATGCAGGCCCTTACCTTTAGCTGCTGTGCAGTGATGAAGGTGTGACATCTCTGAGCTGTGAACTTCCCAGCTGTTGGCAGTTCAGTGCTGTTCCCTAAAATTCCCAACTGGATCAGGGTGTGTCTGACCTGCATCAGCAAATGCTGGTTCTGGAATTGCTCTGTGTAAATGCTGTCCAGTGGTAGAACAAAACTGGGTTTATTTTAGATAACTGTAGATTTGTCTTTATTTTTGAGCCTTTGCTTCTGGTTCACCTTAAATTACAAAGCCAGTAGAAAGTTGGGCTTCTTTCCCCATTTACCCCTCAGCCAACGTGCATGTGGCTGCCTGTGATATTGTCAGTGTGTTTAGTCCCTAAGGGTGCTGTCCTGTCACAGTGTGTTCCTTACACCGGTCTTACATTTCCTGCAGATGAGGATGAGGGCCCAGAGGCGAGACAGYTCCAGAAAGAAGTGGAAGCCTTGTCCCCACAACTCAGACACTACATCCAGGAGGACAACTGGCGCCTGGAGCAGGAGGCAGAGGAGTGGGATGAGGAGCAGTCCTGCAAGATTCCTCAGATGGAGCCTTCGCCTACTTCTGAACTGCAGGACCTCTGCTCCGAGTCAGGACCAGGTAATCCCACCCTGAACTTGCAAACCATGTTGGAACCAGTAACAGCCAGCTGGTCACCAATACCACTGCACTGGAGCCTTGCCCAAATGTCTCAGAATGCAGGAGCAGTGTKGATGAAGCAGCAAAGGCAGCTGCTGGAGGCTCAGCCCTGACTGTACAAAAAGCTCTTTGGCTGGTTTTGTGTGTGCATACTTCCTGGCTTGTCCCCAGAAATGCTGTTTCCCATTCACTTAATCATCATGGGCTAATATCASTTCATTTCCAGCTCTTTCTTTTTTCATAAATATCAAGTGGACAAGTGCTGGTCTCTGGAGTGGGAAACATGACTTGGCAATCCCTGATGAGGTGTGCCATTCCCACTGGAAAGGGGAACGCACACGCTCGCATGAAGGCGGCAGCTGCATAAAGCTGCATGGACAAGCTGCAAAACATTTTAGAGCAAGAGGGAAAAAATGTCAGTGCTGTTGCTCACTGGTACCACATCTGTCCTGACAGAGCAGTCGTCAGTCTGTGAYCAGAGCTGCTCGCTGTCGTCGGAGCACGCCCGCATTGCCAAGGAGCAGACTGCCAAGGCCATTGCCAACACCGCCGATTCCTACGAGAAGAACGGGGTGGAGGCAGCTCTGTGCGAGGTAGGAGCTGTGCCCTGCCCAGGAACCACCCCCTTCTTGTGTCTGGATTATTCTCCTTGACAGACCTTTGCTTTTCCCATTGCTGTGAAGTTCTGTAGCTGTGCCACATTTAGCTCGGTCTCCTTTAGCTTTCCTGTATTTTGCTTTGGATTTTCTTACTCTCTTCTTTTTCTTCTTGGCCACAGAACAAGGAGGTAGAGCCGCTGAAGGCCCAGCTGGGAGAAACATCCCCCACAGTTCAGGCAGATCAGCCCCAGGACGCTCAGGAAGCAGAGGCTGCTGCCCAAAGTAGTTCACAGGTGTCTGAAGTGGAAATCCCCAGTGTGGGGAAGATTCCTGTTAGATCCGATGCAGATGGATATGATGAGGAGGTACAGATTCCAGTGCAGGGGTTCATTATTGCTGCTCCTTAGCCTGTAGGTTTGTACTTAGCTGGCTTTGAGCTGCCCTAAGGGTGGGTGTGATAGTGTCTACCATAGGAACAACACCCTGTACAAAGTTAGTTTTCCCCCTGTGGAAAGGAAGGAAGACAGTTCACATCGTTCCATTATTTCATTTTTAGATGCTGTCAGAAAAGCAGCTCTGTAAGAACAYTCAATTGGTCAATCTGCATGTTGGTCTTAAGTCCTCTTTCTGGCACAACTGTATCRAAATTGATGCTACCTGTATTCATTTCTTTACAAGTCTCTTTGCTGGCTTCAGTTAGTGTTTTGTCCCCACTCAAAGACCTTAATCCCAACAGTGTAATTTGCATACCCTGCCCATTGATWTTTTGGGGTCTGATTTTAAGCACTCTCATACATACTCAAGCAGTGTTTTGGATATTGTCTCTATTTCACAAGTTGGATTTCACACAAACACTGAGGCTGTCACTCCTTGAGTAGGTTTGGGGTGTGCTTGTGTGAAGTTGGCTTAAGGAACTGCTGCGCCACAGTTTCTGCTTTTGTTTTACATGGCTTAGGAAGATTGAGTGGGGCATGGCAGGGATATGGCCAGCGTGCTTTACTTTCTCACTTGTTGCATTTAAAAATTCAAGGCTTTGGGGTGACCAGCCTTGAGATCTTTAAATGCTTAAAGAAAAGCCCTGCATGTAAAGTGCATGTGATGGATAGAGTCAGTAGCATGCAAATAAGTCATAGCCCCAGTTATTGCACCTGTACTACAATTTCCTTTAAACCTTACCATTTGAAAGTTTCTTCCATTCTTCACTATGCCTTCTCTTCTTTCCCTGTCTGTTACTGTTTTCCTTGTTCCTGTTTGTGTCTGTTCTCCTGCTTTCGTGGTAGGTGATGCTGAGCCCAGCCATGCAAGGTGTCATCCTGGCTATTGCAAAAGCCCGCCAGACCTTTGATCGCGATGGGTCTGAAGCAGGGCTTGTTAAGGTATTGATTTGTTTGCTAAATCCAATAGTATGGATATCTGTTTTCCCAGAATAGTGAGTCTGTGCCATATTGACAGGAATGTAAAGGGAACGATTTGAGTTTTTCTTCTGGCTAATGGCCTTTGCCTTGTATTTCAGTTCCTGCTCTCTGTGGGTTCAAAGCAATTTTTAGATCCTGTAAGGGAACACCCTCCTCCCAAGACAAACAGCAACTTTCCTTTTTTCTGCTTATTCTTTTAGTACTGTGAAATTTGTTTTTTTGGTCCTGAACATACCTGCTTACTTGTGACATCTGTTGTCAAAGATGTCCTCAAGAAACATCTGTGTGAGCAGGGGTTTGAAAGCTTAAGCATTGCTGAATGCTGAAGCTGGTGTTAAATTTTACAGGCAGGTAGATTTAACTAAAAATGCCACGAGGGAAGAATCATCCATTCTGATAATCTACGGGAATATAAATCACAAGATACTCTTGCACCTCCTGCAGGTACAAGTGTGTTCCAGTTCATTTTTGCAGTGGGATCACTTGCATGAGAGTTACCAAATCTGTCTAAGGCAGCTCTGCTCTCTGCCTCAAAGGCATTTAGACACCCCAGCACTTTTAGAAGCTCACATTTCATACACAGGGTTTGCCTGGCTCTGGGGCCATTGGTTTTGAGTTGAGGTGTTGGTGGGCTTCTGTTCACCACTGGAGTATGACCAGCTGAGGAGGTTTAGTGTCACCATAGGAGTGCCATCAAACAGAACAGGTTTGATTTCCTGTTGGCTGCTGTGGCATTCCCACGGGTTCCAGGTGGATCTGTCAGTGYGTGTGTTCCATTGGCAGGCGTTCCATGAGGAATATTCCCGACTGTACCTGCTGTCCAAAGAGACCCCAACCCCCCAGAACGATGCCCGGCTCCAGCACGTCCTCATCTACTTCATGCAGAACAATGCTCCGCAGCAGGTCGTGGAACGGACCCTCCTCGAGCAGTTTGCAGACAAAAACCTCAGCTATGACGAGCGGTGAGTGCCCAGGATTCCAGGGGAGGCTTTTCCTGTCTGGAATGTGGCCTGACTTTTCTACTTTCTGTTCACATGGAGCAGGTCCATCAGCATCATGAAAGTGGCACAGGAAAAGCTGAGTGAAATCGGCCCTGATCTTGTGGACATGGAGGAGTACAAGGTAAGGGAGAGAGAGATGYTTCTGATCCTTCACACTGTCCTAGCTGGCACTGTCCAGAGTGGGAAATGGGAGCACAGCGTGGAGCTGTGTGACCAACACAGTGCTCACTGCATGGCTGTCAGCAGTGAGTGTCACCGAGGGAGAAGGAATACGCTGGAAATGTTTGCAGGAGTGTTTGCAGTTGGCTAAATGCATTTATGTGTCACTTATGAGACACATTTAAACATTTCAAAGGATAAAATCTGACACGCTTCAGAGTCATGGGGGGACCAAATTCTGGGTGAGGCTGATGCTSTGCTTCCCTCCTGCTCCTCACAGAGATGGCACGAGGACTACAGCCTTTTTCGTAAGGTGTCCATTTACCTGCTGACAGGATTGGAACTCTACCAGAACAGAAAGTAAGTTCCTATAATTATGTTTGGACAAGATAATCTGTAGTTAAAAGTAAAGGCTACTTTGACAAAAATTCTTCTTTCTGACCCACAACCTTTATTTGAGGCCAGTGGGCTTTTTTTTTTTGACCTGCTAATAGCCCTTCTCAAATCCATAATTGAGCTTGGTCAACAGTTCAGATATGAGGCTGGGCTGCGGGCTAGCTGCCTGACTGTTTCTGAGAGTTTCCYCTAAGTTTTCYCTTTGGGAAGTTGAGTTTTATWTTCTGTTTTCCAAAGATGGGTTTGMAGGAATGATTGCCATCACCATGGTATTTTTCACCTTGGACTCCTGTATTAAAATTAAACTGTCTCAAAATGGATGCTATGCTTTGTGTAAATACRCACTTTGGAGTCCTCTAGACCCAAAAGGCCTTGGTTTCCTCCTTACCATTCCAGAACCTGTATTTTCCATAAATTGTGCGTGCTTTCTGAAATTATTCCTGGATGGATACAGGACTGAATTCYGAGGTGGTTTGCAGTGATGAGCCACCAAATTCAGGTGGGCAAATTGACATGAGGCAGCAAGACAAGAGCTGCTTAGAGCTCCCCCAAATTGACCTAATCCCTGTCAGCAGCTCTGCTTTCTCACCTAAAGCTTGAAGCGTGTGAGGGACTCAAAAACACAACCTTGGGRTATTCTCATAGTGCAGTTCCTGGAGCAGTACAGAAAACGAATGTGAACAAACATGTTGCACTTGAACTTGGCTTTAAGGGGCTCTGCCAAGAAGTTCATTTGGCATTCTGGGCAAAAAGGAGGAGGAGGAGGAGTGACTTGACATGGGGCATCTATTCATTTTTGCTTTGGCAAGGATATAACAGCTTTTCCCATGGGGCCTGATGCTGTTGCAGCTGGGCCCAGCAGGAAACGTGTGCTGAGCTGAGCCCAGGCTGTAGGCATGGCCCTGGCAGAGCTGACCCTCTTCTTGCAGGTACCAGGAGTCACTCACCTACCTGGTCTATGCCTACCAAAGCAACACCAAACTGCTGCTGAAGGGAACCAACCGAGGCGTGAACGAGTCCCTGATCGCCCTGTACAGAAGGAAGTGTCTCCTGGTTTGTATTGAGGAGCTCAGCACTCACTTTTGGAGAGGAGGGGAGAGAGCAGCCTGGGCACCATGATAGCCAAGAACTGTGTAACTGTGCCTTGTGTCTGCTGCCATAACYCTGCCCTTGCTGAGTACCAGCAGCAATATGGGTAGCTGGAAAATAATAATAATAATTCAATTAAAGAACGTGCCACATAGGTTTCAGGGAATCTAGGCAAAGACAGATTTGGATCTTGCCATCTTAAAACCAGAATTGTAAATAAGCTGTATGTACTCTGTATGCAGATATAGCAAACTGCATTTATGTGTACRAGTGTATCTATTTACAAGTTTGTTTTCTATGGGGTGTTTTCCATGACTGAAGGTGGCTGCTCCACCAGAACCTGGCACCTGGTGCTATCAGTCCTTGTTCTTTGCACTGCCAGTGCAGGGCCCAAGCTGGGCCTTTCCTGGATGTTATCCATGGTCMATGCTTGCTCTTTACAAGCCTGTCCCCAATTCTCCCTCCACCCCCAGAAGCTGAATGAGGTGGCAGCTTCTCTTTTCATCAGCTGTGAAGAAGCTCGTGTGTCAGAGGGTGTGAGCATCCTGAACGAGCTGATCATCCCCTGCATGCATCTGATGAACAACTTTGAGATCTCCAAAGAGGACCTGGATGCCATCGAGATCATGAGAAACCGCTGGTGCTCCTATTTGGGACGAGAGGACATGGATGGTAGGAAATGGCTGCTGTCCATTGCCAGGGCAGTGTCTGGGYCTGAACTGGGAAAGAATTAAAGGACCATTTTAAATTAAATTCCTAGTGTCTGCAGTGCAGCACATTGGGGCCCTTGTAACTGTGGGAGGAGAAATGTATTTGAATGACCCATTAAATTCTGTTACAGAAGAAATTAATCTTGTACTAAAGTAAGCTGCAGAATGGTCCTTTGTCCCTGAAACAGTCAATTTTGAGTGTCACCCTGACACACGCAGTTATTCCTGCACTGACAGCTCTGCAGTGTCACTCTGGTGTCTGGGTGGGCCATGGCCCTGTTCCAGGCAGCCCGGTGACAGTGGATCTCCCCTCAGAGCCCTGTCAGGCAGGATGGGAGCTGGTGGCAGCTGCTGYGAGGTGTGCTCTGTGTCAGCAGGGCTGCTCATCCCCGGGATGGGCTGGGWGCTCTCAGCACGGGAGAGGAGTCTGCAAAAGGCATCACAGCTCCTTACCCCGAGCCTGGAGCCTCTGCCATCTGCTGCCACTGACTGTCTCTCCTCTCCCCCTTGACAGCAAAGCTGCAGATGAAGCTGGGTGAGCTGCTGCCCCGGCTCCTGGATGGCTCCACCGAGGTCATTGTGCTGAAAGAGCCCCCGAAGATCCGCCCCAACTCCCCGTACGACCTGTGCAGCCGCTTCGCAGCCGTGATGGAATCCATTCACGGGGCCTCCACCGTCACCGTCAAATAGCCACGGGCACTCCCTGTGCCACTGTGCCATGCTGCCAGCCTGCCCGGGGCCTCGGGCGGCCAGTGCTGCACTGGGGGAGGACAGGGGCACCTTGGTTTCTSAGCTGTGTTCTTTGTAAATATGAGCAGATAAAAAGCAGTATTGCACTTGTGAGGCAGAACGTGAGGCGGTAACACAAAGGACCCAGACCACTGTTACAGTGCAAGGTGCAGGCCCAGGCAGGCTCCAGAAGTTCTTCTGTCCTGGCAGCCTTCTAAATGCACCCCCTGGGCCCATGCTGGCACAGGAGCCCAACTCTGTTCAGCACTGCACCCTGTGCCTGGGCTGTCAGGGGCTTTCACAGCTCCTGCATGGGCACTGCRAGAGGCTGCACGTGTCAGTCCAGCCAGACTGCTGCTGGTGGGAGCCTGGGCTCAGTGAGGAGGAGGCAGCGAGCAGCAATGGCTCAGGCTCTGCTGTGTGGGCAGTCATGCAAAAGCTGTGTGTTATGGTCAGGTCAAGTAGGCTTTTGCCTTTTGTATTCCAGCTGGCACCAGAAACCCTGCAGGAGCCTTCCTCAGAGGCACAGGCAAATCCTGGCAGTGAGGAGCCAGGACGGGGCTGTGGTTTGTGCCTGGCAGGAGCTGACTGCCTCGGGCAATCACATCACCCCGAAGGATTTTCCTTTGTGGCCAGAAGGCAAACTTCCTTCTCCCCTTGGGTGGTRTGTCAGGGCTGGATTAGTGTCAGTGACAGCTGCCAGGGCTCAGATCAGCCCGTTGTGTTGGTGGTGGGTATTTGTGTTGACTTTGTTAACGAAGTGCCCCGTTGGCATTTCTTGTTGCAGTCGCCCTGTGCTTGCCTTTGAGCTGCGGCAGTTGTAAGCCGAAACTTCTGAGTCAGTGGMGGGGGATCCTTTTTGCTGGGACTATGCAGAGTTTTCTAACAGTGCAATAAAAGCATTTGTTCTATGTTAGAATGCAAAAGCTCCTTCCATGTCTTTATTTCACTTTGGGATTCTGCCTGAAGGTTCTTCCTGCACAACATATGCTGTCATTAGCAGAGCTGCCTTAGGATGGTTCCACCGTCCCTTTGGGGAGTGTTTCCCCATATTTAGGAATAAACTGCTTATGTGGCAGAACCTTGCACTCTCCCAGARACTTTATGATGAAGTAGAACTGCCATTATCCACAGGCACTCTGGCTGCCAGGGTCCCAGCACCAACCCATGCCTCTCAGGGACCAGGGTGCTGCTTTTTCAGCTTTTTTCCCCCATTGTGACAGAGCAGTTGGGATGAGCCCTTCAATTCACTGCTTGGGGTGCTTGACCTTCCACAAATGMAAACATGGAGTTCTTGAACAGAACCCCCCATCCATCACCCACCCGGAGGCACACTCCCTCCTCMCAGGCAGCACTTGGCATTGCCAAGCAGCTTTTGTGCACTTGCTGGCAATAGGATGTGGTTTGGGGAGAGAATGGGAGAGTGCGTTTGTTCTGACTCGCAAAACAGTGCCTTTGCACAGTTCTTTTGTGTTGCTGCCAGAAGCTGAAATGCCCAGCCCATGCCCAAATSCTGCTTTAAGAAACCAGTGAAGAGCATCAGGAGTGCAGTGGTGCCAGGGATGTCGTGGTATTTGGATTGGGCTGGACAGGAGCAGTGTGTCCCCAGGCTGGAAGCCTTTGCTCACTGCTCTGTCCTCCCATTTCCCAAGGGAGTTACAGCCAAACAGCCTCTCTGGGTTGGTCAGTCCTCAAGGGCAGCTGACAGGGGGCAGCTCCTTGGAAGGTGATGGCCASGAGCATCTCCCCTCAGTTCTACCTCCTTTGGTTCTCCTTCCAAAAGATTGAGCCCCTGCTTCTCTCAGCACCACCAGCTCTGTGCCCTGTCCTGCAGCATCAGAACTCCCGGGATCATCCCTGTTCCCTTTCCTTGCCCACCCACTCCTTCCTCTCCTCCAGCTGATCAAAGTGCAGGTTTCAAAATGGGACTTAGAAGGAGTGGACTTTGCTTCCCCCAGGAATGCTGCTGTCGGCTGGGCCTTCCTTGAGATGGGTCACGCGCCCACGGCTTTGAGCCTGCAGGGATTAAACCAGTGGTGAACTCAATTTTCAGCCAGTGCTGTAGCAGCAGGCAGGCCCCTGTCAGGACTCCGAGTGCTAATCCAGCCTGATGGTCTGTGCTCTTGCTCACAGAGGTGTGTAAGCAGCCTTTATTTTTACAGCTGAATCAGGAAAATGTGGAAGGAACACTTGAGGAGACCAGCAAAAATCTCTTCTTGCCTTTTGTACTCAGGTAAATGATGCAGTCGAGGAACTTTTGACACAAAGGTCTGTGGCGCTTATCGGCTTTTATCRTCTTAGCCATGAGAAGATGAGGCTCCTGCAGGACATGTGGTCACTGCCATCCCACCTTTGCAGCAGGAGYAGAACTTGGTGCTGCCTTGTCTCTCATTTTCCTCCCTCCCCCTTGTTTTCCACTTTTATCTCTCTTCCTCCACTCTTTTCTGGACACACCAAACCGTGGCATCACCAGCAGTGCTGCGTCTTGCAACTCCTACCCTGCATCCCACTGGTGCRAGATAGAGCTGCATGCTGAGAGCACAGACACGCTGCCAATGGACATGATAATTTATTGCAAATACATGAGAGCGACACAGACATGCAAGGAAGGAGCTGCCACCCTGGGGCACAGCGTTAGCCACGACAGACTCGGCTACGGGGGACTCGCCAGAGATGCCAACAGAGTGTCACCCATCAGTGATGGGACCACGGTGTCACCAGCAGTACAAAGTGCTGCCCGCTGCTTGTTGCCTTCCCACGCTCGCTTGGTGAATGCTGCGGGGAAATCTGCTGCTCCTTAGCAGAGAAAAAGTGAAGCAGACACGCAGAGGAAGGAGAGAAACCTGCAGAGCTGCTGTAGCAATTAGCAAATCATCCTGTGAAACAAGCAGGAGCCCTCCCTGCCAGGGGAAGAGACCCGAGCACAGCACCCTGAGGCTCTAGATGACCAAGTCCGCGTTTTTGGGGTGCAGGTGGTGGCCCCCAGCCCAGCCTGGTGCAGCGGGGGCCTCAGGGCAGGCAGGGGCCGGCGGCGCTGGGATCCTGGTGGAGCAGGCACTGCAGGCAAGGAGCAGCCCGCCAGCAGCGAGGAACACTCCGGCAAACCAGCCCAGAAACGTGGCCTCSCCAAACTCCCACCTGGGGACGATGTCGGGGACAGTCTCGTCCCAGAAGTCGAGCACGGTGTTGTAGGCGACCCAGGAGACCGGCACCAGGGTGGTGATCCCTGCCATGCCAAGCACCACTSCCCCGGCCAGCAGGAGCTGCCGCTTTCGCCCGGGTTTGTCCTCGCAGGTTCTCCAGCCCTCCAGCCCCAGGACGGCGAGCAGGCAGCCCAGCAGCCCCAGCCCATTGGAGAGGCACATCAGGAGGCGAGAGATGCGCAGCTCGGGGGGCAGYGCCAGGAAGGAGTTGTGGGGCTGGCACTCAACCACCCCCTCCTCCTGGGTGATGCAGACCTGCCAGAGCCCCATGTTCCACACCTCCAGCTCGTTCAGCTCCAGGTTGAGGTTCTTCCAGAGGGGCACGAAGGTGGTGACGCAGGAGCTGACCCATCCGAGGAGAGCCAGCAGCATCCCCCCGAGCTGCGCCCGTGCCCGGCAGCCCCCGGCCATGCTGCCACCGSCCCGGTAACCTCCGTGCCCGGCTTAGCCCCGAGCGGCGGCCGCGGGCATTAACGGTGCCGGAGCAGCGTCCGCCCGGCCGCGTCTGCCGCCCGGGGGGGGCCAATTCAAGCCTGTTCCTCCAACGCCGGGGTGTGGCCACGGCCGTTTTTCAGCTGTTGTTGGTTTTTCCACGCTAAAAGGAGAGCGCGCCCGGCTCAGCAGGAAAAGCCGGGTGCATCACCCCGGTAACTCCGGGCTGGGTCCCGCCGGTGCCTCGCCRTGCCCGGGAGGGTTAAGCCAAAGCATGCAAATCCTCCGAGCCTYGGCCACCCCGATGCGAGAGCCTTGGCACGGAAAGTGCCTCTCGTGGCAGCAGCTCCGAGAGGGGGGACAGGGCTGGGACCCCCAGCACAGGATGCAGGCACTGCAGAGCCGGCAGTGGGCTTTGGTCGGGAGTCAGTGGCTCGCATGGAGGCCCCGACCCTCATTCGGGCGTTAATTAAACATCAAAGGAGCCTTTGAGAGCTGCGTTGRGAATGGGGATGTCCGAGGGAGCGAGCAGGTTGCAGGTGGGCCCTGCTACTCGCAGGGGGGCACTGATCACCCTGTCCTGCACCCAGCACTTCACCAGCAGACAAAACTCTGGTGCTGGCRGAGTGTGAGGAAACTTGTCTGATAGGAGACACCCTGCTGCGAGCACAAAGATGGGGAAAACGCATCTACATCAGCCTGGTCCAGTGGGAGGTTATTCCTGCCTGKGGCAGGGTGYTGGAGCTGSAGAGATCTTTAAGGCCCTTTCCAACCCAAACCATTCTGGGATTCTWTGAAAAGGATGAAACGAAGCATCAGGAAAATCCCAACTTTGTGCTGGCACTCAGCTCCCATCCTCCCCCACGTGCATTCCCTCKGCGGGGTCCAGCTTGCAGATTCATCTTCCCTGGGAGATTAGCGACTAATCTCTCCTTCATCCGCCGTCTTTCTTATCTGCATTGGGAGCCAGACTGGAAATTACTGAGTGCTGCTGGTAGCGGGGTCCAGCCGTGGTGAGTGTCAGGAGGAKGTGGCAGGGGGGTCCCACAGGGAGGGGACAAGGGAGCACGGACACATTCAAGGTGGAAGCACAGACCGGGCAGGAGAGGGGCGATGTTTTCCAGCCCTCGCTGACCATCCCGTCCCCAAGGGCAGACAGGGAGCATCATCTCAAGGGCAAGAGCAGGGAAATCCGCTGGGAAACCCCTCCTGCTCCTTCCCCCAGGCATTGGGGCACCTGCTCCTTCCAATTAAATCGTCTCAAGGTAATTGTGCCTGTCATTGAGACAGATTAACGGGTGACCTTCTGCCGCTGGAGCAGGATTGGCGGCCGCCGACGAGCTCCCGGTCCTTCCTTCCCTCCCACCGGCCACGGTGGCACAGCCCGGCAGAGAATTCCCGTCCACAACCGGTGGAAAGATGCCCGGCAGTGGCCAGGGCGCAGCGGGAGCCACAAGCCGAGAACGACAAAGTCTGCCAGGCTGGCAGCTGCTCTGCCTGGACATGAGGTGGGTGTCCCCGCGCTCTCGGGTCTGGGGACCGGCAGGTCGGTCCGGAGAGTGACATCCTCTGKCGCTGCACCGGGGACCGCTGCTCCCGCTGCTCTTCAGGGGCAGGGGATGCTCAGAGGAGGCAGAGCGCCCGCGCTCCCATTGCATCCCCACCGCTATCCCTGCAGGTCGCTGCAATCCGGGTTGCGTTTCCAGGACCGTGACCTCCCATGGCATCTCCCCGTGGGCACGGGCTGGACTCAGCCTGTCCCGAGGAGCCCGGCTATGGGGTCTGCATCTTTATCACAGGCTGTCCTTCCTCCGCACCTAGGGGCCATCCATTTCTGCTCGGAGCTTCTTAGAGAACCGGCACTATCGCCACAGCCTGGAACAAGTGTGGAAAAGTGCCTTAGGCGCTCCCCAAAGCTTGCCGGCTGCCGGGGCTGCTTCCTACCGGAGGCGAATGCCTCCTTCCCGGCCTTGCAATGCAATTATGGCCCCTAATGGGCTTAGCCATCTGGAGCCAGCCCGCAGCCACTCCGGCACAGCTCCGGAGCTGGCACATGCTGGGCAAGGGCCGCCCCCAGACCCTGGTCCCGGGCAATCGGAGAGGGGCCGGAGCCCCAGGCTGCTTTCGGTGTGCAGAATAACCCCTCGCTTTGTGTCGCCCATGGCAGGACCCCGTGCCCGTTCCGGGGCTGAGCCCCCGCCCCGGCGCCGCCATGGTGCTGCCCTACGGCCGGAACGGCGGCGGCGCCGGTGGCTGCCYGGTCCCGGAGGAGCCCCGCGGCCGCAGCAACTCCATTCCCCTGGCGCAGACCCCCAGGGCCAAGCACATGCTGGCGTACCTGCCCCGGCCCSCCGACAGCAGCCGCTACGGCACCTTCCCGCACAAGGTACGGCTCGCMCCGGGGCTCCGGGGCGCTCTGGGCACATTCCGGTGCTGCCGGGGGCACGCTGTTGTTGTCCGGGGCGATTTCTCACSGCGGGCTCCTTTCCCCTCCCCGCAGCCCGATCTCCCGGCCGCTCCCGGGGCTCCGCTGGAGGACGGCGGGCAGCAAACCGCCGCCAGCGCTGCCAAGAGAAGCGCCCCGATGCCAAACTACCCGTCCGCACCSCGCCGCGGCGGCTTCGTCCCCGGTGAGCCGTCCCTGGCGCCGAGCCGCGGGAGCCTGAGCGCCCAGCAGCACCGCGGCCGCCCGTCCTGGTGCCCCCCGCCCGCGCCGCAAGAGCCGGGTGCCCGCTTGTACCCGCTGCACGCCCTGAGCGTGGCCAACATCCCCAACTCCTCCCGCGGGAAGAGCTCTGCCCGCAGCTCCACTGCTCCCACCCCAGAGGGGCTGCAGAGCCGGCGCTGCAARCTGCTGGAGGAGGAGAGCCCCATGGCCCAGGCCGGCAAGCGGCAGCGGCAGCGCTACGTAACCAAAGTGGGCAAGTGCCAGGTGAATCTGGGCAACATCCAGGACAAGAAGAGATTCCTCTCAGACATCTTCACCACCATTGTGGACCTCAAATACCGCTGGTTCCTCTTTGTCTTCATGATGTGCTACATCGTCACCTGGGTGGTGTTCGGCTTCATCTACTTCTTTGACGCCTGGCTGCGGGGTGACGTGGGGCACCAGGGAGATCCCGAGTGGCGGGCGTGCATCGAAAACGTCGATGGCTTTGTCTCCGCCTTGCTCCTGTCGGTGGAAAGCCAGCGGACCATCGGCTATGGCACCCGGATGGTGACGGCCAACTGTGCCGAGGGCGTCATCCTGCTGATGGCACAGTCCATCGTGGGYTCCATGATCGATGCCATGATGGTTGGCTGCATGTTCGTTAAGATCTCGCGGCCCAAGAAGCGCGCCCAGACCCTCATCTTCAGCAAGAACTGCGTCATCTCCCGCCGGGATGAGAAACTCTGCCTGATGTTCCGCGTGGGGGACCTGCGGGAAAGCCACATGGTGGATGCCAAGATCCGGGCCAAGCTGATCAAGTCSCGTCAGACGGCCGAGGGGGAGTTCATCCCCCTGGAGCAGTCGGAGTTGAACCTGGGCTACGACACCGGCGAGGACCGTCTGTTCCTGGTGGAGCCCCAGATCATCTGCCACGTCATCAACCGCCACAGCCCCTTCTGGGACATGTCAGCCGAGTCACTGCGCCGCGAGCAGTTCGAGATCATCATCATCCTCGAGGGCATCGTGGAAGCCACAGGCAAGTGACTGGTGGGGGTCAGGGTGGAGAGGGGTGGCTGGAGATGCTGAGCAAACCAGAGGTGCTTGGGGTCAAAGCTGCCTGCAGCAGGGTGGCAGCCCCTCACCGGGCACTGGGGATTGTTGCAGCTCCTCTGGCACTGGGGATTGTGGCAGCTCCTCACTGGGCACTGGGGATTGTTGCAGCTCCTCTGGCACTGGGGATTGTGGCAGCTCCTCACTGGGCACTGGGGATTGCTGCAGCCCCTCGCTGGGCACTGGGGATTGTTGCAGCTCCTCACTGGGCACTGGGGGTTGTTGCAGCTCCTCACTGGGCACTGGGGATTGTTGCACTGGGGATTGTGGCAGCCCCTCACCGGGCACTGGGGATTGTTGCAGCTCCTCTGGCACTGGGGATTGTTGCAGCCCCTCACTGGGCACTGGGATTGTTGCACTGGGGATTGCTGCAGCTCCTCACCGGGCACTGGGGATGGTTGCCGTGCCCCAGCCCAGCTCAGCTTTGTCTTGCCACAGGGATGACGTGCCAAGCCCGCACCTCCTACACGGAGGATGAAATYCTCTGGGGATACCGCTTCGAGCCCTGCATGTCCCTGGAGAAAGGCGCCTTCCAGGTGGACTACAGCCGCTTTGAGATGACCTTTGAGGTGCAGACGCCGGCAGCCAGCGCCAAGGAGCTGCAGGAGCTGAAGGAGCTGGAGCAACAGGAGCACTCCACGCTCAGCCTCTACTGGGACCACCTGGTGCAGCCGTGCGTGCTGCCAGCGCCCGGTGAGGACGCGCTGCTGGCGATGAGCGTCCCTGGCAGCGTGGCTGAGGGTGCCCAGGATGAGCCACCCCAACGGGAATTCCCTGCCTGAGCTGCCCTGGGGACTCTCAGAGTGGCCACCTGGCCACATCCTGGGCCCGGTTGGTGGCCACGGGTGCCCCATGCCAACAGTGCCATAGCCCTCTCTCCTCTGTAGGGCTGAGCCCTCACCCCCGCGCTCCCCAGCTGCAGCCACAGGACATTGTTTTTGTTAAGGTGTTCTTTTGTAACAAGCAGCATGAGGTGTGATGAGAGGGCAAGTAAAGGCTGTTGTGACAAATCGCCCAAACCATCAGCAGCGTTTATTGTGGGGGACCCTCGGGGGAGTGGGCAAAGAGAGGCAGAGTCCAGAGCCCCCCAATGCCATGGGCTCAGTCCTGGACTGTGACAGAGCCCCGTGCCCCACCAACACCCCAAACTGCCCCTCTCCTGCCTGGCATGGTGCCCCAGGGCTCCCCCAGCACAGAAATATTGCACTGGGCTGGTGCTGGGGGAGACTGGACATGGTGTAGTAGAATTAAATTAATGTAATTACAGGAATGACATCACTGGAGTCACCTGCAGYCCTACAGCCTGGGCCAGAGGCCTGGATTGAAAACAATCAATAAAATCTGCCTGTACAGATTTTACATACGGTCTGGCTGGGCTGGGCACCCTCCCTGCAGCTGCAGAATATTCCCCCTTTGGATTTAACCCGCCTTTGCTTCTCTTCTGTCATTCTGCCTTTGTGGATTCTCTGCCCCACCTGAAATGTGCCCGAGCGARAAGGGAGCGATGGAGCAGCTCGGGGGCAAGGGATGGACGGGGCAGGACGGGTGAAATACAAACACACCACATCCCCCTGCAGCCCCGACCCCACAAACATCAAACTCACCGCACAAGAAAAAGTTTAAAAAATATATAAAAAAGCTGCAGGTTTTGCTGTGTTTTGTTTGCAGCTGCATAGTGTTTCTACGTGCAAAGTTAATAAGGGTCAATATGCGCATTGATTCGATATAAAACCGTGATTTGCATATSAAGCATGCGATTTACATGTCCTTAATATTCAGATACATGTCACCGCGCGAATAACAAACACAAACTCGGTTATCACACACCCGGGAAACGCTCGGGTCCCACGGAGCCGGGCCGGATGCGTGT